TACATGAAGAATTTATTGATTTTATTCTTTACTTGAATTAAATTTAGATTTATCTTGGACTCTTGAATATCAAATTATCAACTAATTCAGATTTTATTTGGCTTTGTACAGGAGCAAAACCGAAACCGACCGAGACCGACCCAACCCGACTCAAACCGACCAGGTCGGTTTGGCCTGTCAGTGGGTCGGTTTCGATTCCCACCTTAGCTAACCCGACCAGGTCGGGTCGGTTGGGAAAATCCCAAGAAACCGACCCAACCCGACCCGTGAACACCCCTAAAAGGGGGTGTTCTTTTTGTGGTTGTGGTTCTGACTTCTGTGGTTTAGAACACAAAAACAATCATACCTAGCAAAATGCTTATGATAACTCAAAACCAATATTTTTACTTTGGAAAGAGGTGATATGCTTCTAAAACACAACCACCCTTTTTTTCAACCACGAACCAAACACCACCTTAAGTACAACAGTAACCCAGCCAATTGTTTTTTTTGGATTTCATTGTTTCTTACTTTTTCGGGTCAGCAATCAACAAACACTTTTCTGAGCCAGCCCAAACTTGGAAACGGTGAGGTATGCTGGGAGGCGGGAGCCCGAATAATACTCCATTACTTTTGGTAAATCTTGACCTGGCAAAAAGTTGATCCAACCCACGAAATCGACCCAACCCAACCCAACCCGAAAAAACAGGGTTAGGGTCTCATATTTAGTTACCTGAATGTGAGAATGACCCGACCTGACCCAACCTGGAAAAAATTGGGTTGGGTTGGGTTGGGTCATGGGTCAACCCGCTGACCTGATTGTCAAGTCTAATTGGGACTATTTATGTATTGTTATAAGTTTCCATTCTTTAATTTTTTCTATTTAATCTTTACTCTTTATTGTTTACTCTTTAAATTGTTAAATGTTCAAGTTTTTTATTTTATATTTGGAATTTTAAGATTAATTCCTTTAATTTTAGCAATTTTCATGTAGTTTTTCTTTATTTTTTTAATTTCAATTATTTTTTGGGATGACCAATACCCATGGGTCAACCCTAACCTGAACATTTAGAGTTAGGGTCTAGCATTTGATAACCCAACCCGAAATCAACCCGAAGTGTCTTGACCCAACCTGAACCCGACCCACCCAATCCAATTGCCAAGTCAGTACATTTATGCATCAACTGAACAGGACAACCAATTGGTCAGGGGTATGGTTTCCAGGTCGAATGGTCTAACTATTCGAACCGAATGGATGGCCCGTTCTGACAAAAAAATGAAAAAAATAATAAAAAAATAAAAATTGGCAAAACTGTTGAACGGTTCGAACCTTTGTTGATCTCAGTCTCACCATCGTTTATTTAAGTGTGCATGTATAAAGAAAACAACAATTCTACCTACGTTAAGGATAGGTTAAGATGTGGGAATCTGAGATCCCTACTCGTATTTATCAAGGTTTGATAATTAAAAATGATTCACATACTCAGATTTGAAGGTATAACCCAGACCAAAATGGATTGGATTTGGAGTCCTTGAAAACCCAACCTGAATTATTAATAAGGGTAAAATATAAAAATTTCCCCTGAAGTTTCTGACAATCATAAAAACCTTCTCTATAGTTTCATTTTAGCAAAAACCTTGTCTCTATTTTTGACAAAATCAACAAATACCTCTTCCGTCAATGACCAAGATGGAAAACGTTAAAGAGATGACCATTTTTTTCAAAATACCTATTTTACCCTTTCTCGAACACTGTTCATCTTCTTTCTCACACAGACAACGGCATAATGGTGGTGCACTCCCCCCTCCAACCTTCTCTCTTCTTTAATTTTCCTTTGATTCTCTCTCTCCCCCCCAACAACGATAGAATGTCGGTGCATTGTTCATCTCTACGTCTCCTCTTGCTCTCCTTTTCTTCTTCTTCAGTTTGTTTGATTTAAATCAAGAAAAATAGAACAAAAAATAAGCCACAAAGACGTTCCTTAAAAAATCATTGGTAAAAGGGGATTTCTATAAATGTGTCTGTTTTACAGTTTCATCTTTCGATTCTTTGCACTACTTGTTTATTAATGTTTCTGTCTTTGTTGATGAAACTATCTTTACCTTTCATCTCCCTAGATCACGTTGACTTGCAAAATTGGAACGACCAAAGCAGCACCAAGATTGGAACGCCCAACCTCAACATTCTCTTTGCTTTCATCGGAATGTTAGGGTTGGGCTTCAATCTCGACTCACTGTTGCCTTTCTCGCCCAACCCATGTTTCATTGGTCAACAACAAACACTACTCTCAAGGAAGGACTCGATTACACAGATGGGTCTAGGATCAAATGTTGGGACGTTCACCAAGAAGAGGAGGACGGTGAGGAAACAAAGTTTTGGAAGCAGCTAGGTGGTTTGGGTTATTGACCATGCTTAGATTTCAGTGGTGAATATCGGAGGTCGAGCGAAGTGATTGTGAAGGACCGAAGAAAGTATCCGCTGGTTGTGGTTTCTGGTGGGATGAATCAATAGAGGAATCGGATAGTTGATGCCATTGTGACTGCTTGGATTCTTGGTGCTGCTTTGGTCGTTCCAATCTTGCAAGTCAACATGATTTGGGAGATGAAAGGTAAAGATAGTTTCATCAACAGAGACAGAAACATTAATAAACAAGAGGAGACACAAAGATGAACAATGCATCGCCATTCTGCCATTGTTGGGGAGAGAGAGAGAGAGTCAGAGGGAAATTAAAGAAGAGGGAAGGTTGGAGGGGGGAGTGCACCGCCATTCTGCCATTGTGCGTGTGAGGAAGAAGATGAACAGTGTTTGAGAAAGGGTAAAATAGGTATTTTGAAAAAAATGGTCATCTCTTTAACGTTTCCCGTCTTGGTCATTGACGGAAGGGAGGTATTTGTTGATTTTGTCAAAAATAGAGGGGAGGTTTTTATAATTGTCAGAAACTTCAGGGGAGGTTTTTGTATTTTACCCTATTAATAAATAGGTCAGGTATGCACATTTTCGATGGACCCGAGTTAGATCCAAATGAGATCTCATCAGAGGATATGTATTCAGATCTTGATCCGTAAATGGCTCCATGTGATATGAACAATTTATAAGTCAATGGTTTAGCTCTTGGCTTTTAGCTAGAAATGCAAATGGATCGGATCGGATTTGAATCAGGGTATATTCGAATATGATCCAACACTGTTCATGTCGGATATGATTCGATCCAAAGATCCAATCGAATTTGATAGGATCAGATTCGATTTGAAT